TCAGCGTGTCCTGCCGCATCCACTTTGCGGCAAGATGTACGTAAGGCAGGTATCAAATCTTCAGTGCCGATAATTGTCATTCCTCCAACGTTTTCATTGTTTCATTAGGCAGCTGGGCTCCCAGCGACCTCGGCTAAACCGCACAGCTCCGCGTTTCACCTCTCCAGAGGCGCCCGCTTACCAGCCCCGAGCCACATCTTGTAAGATTCTTCAAAACACCCATCAGTCTCCATCCTCACTGACAGCTTCTCAACACTGACTGTGAAAGGTACTTCATGCAACATTTTGGGTGTAATGCTTCGTACGCACAGGCCAAGGAACGGCAGAATCCAGGTTTCAATGCCCAGCTCTCGCGCCGCTCTGCAGAGCGGCCCTGGGAAAGGTAGCTCCACTCCTCTGGTACTAGATAAATTAGCCAATATTAAACTGTTACTCAAAAGTGACAGATAACCAGCTGCATTTCCTTCTAGTCAGTCTTGATCATAAAATGGCAGCTCAGTAGTCAAACCATTAATTTTTGCAACAAGACTATGTGATTACTGACACTAAAATACAGAAACATCCGTAGCAGCTCAGAAAAGGCAGCGTGTAGTCAGGTTTTATACATACCCCTTAAAAGGGGGGAAACACCATCCTTGCATATTTTATGCCCCCAAGAACTGTACGCAAGAACAGCCATACCAACGTAAAAGGCAGGTTGCCAGCGAAGCCTCCAAACTCCAGCCTAGTAACGGGATGATAAGCTTGAGCTTCCAACTTCCAGAGTTTTGGCAGTATTGCCCGTACATTTCTAAGCATTTTCTTTTCTAAGAAGAAAATTTAATAAAACATCATAAAATGCCTACAGTTTGTCTGTCAACTGATTTTCTCTCTAAATGCCTAATTAAGATCACTTACTCGTTGCTTTTTAAATACATATTTTAAGCTTTAATTTTAAATCGTAAATTTGAAAATGCAAAACAGAGTTAAACGGCAACTCCATGATCTTCTGTGTCATTATCCAGAGGCAACTCTTACACGGGGGACAGCTCTATCTAAATCACATGCCCTTTGTCTAGGTAAGTCACTATTTTTCAGCATGACTTTTAATAATTTAAAAATTGGTAAAAAGAAACGGCAAAGCGGAGCGTGCTCTCAAAGACTTCAATAACAACATCATGTTGATAGACAAGACTGACAAGTCCAAATACGACTCTGAATCTCATCAACACAGTTCTTTAATGCAAAGAGAAATAGCAAAAGGAGAGGAGATTAATGAAGCAGTTGAAGCAGGCAGCCGAAGGGAGCCTTGCAGAAAGATCTTGCGATGATGCTGACATGTTAAAATTCATCTATTTAGCCGGGCTCGAGAGCATCCAGCTTGCTGTAATCACTTGAAAACTTTCAACTGGATGAAGGGGTTGGCTGGTTTGTTTTTATTACAAGTAGTCAGACAAAATTAAGCCTTATATGTAACGTGGTACCATGGAATAGCTCTAGGAGCCCAAAATTGCCTTCAAGTTTTTAGCATAGGCAAAATGAACAACAACCAAAACATTTCTGGTTGTAGATCAGGGTAGGTGGAAGGCCACTGGAAATTTGGGGGTTGAATCACACCCTCAACAGTCTGGACACAGGGTGGAGGGGGGGGGGGAAGGAAGGTCAGAGGAAGACATTAGGATATTAGGACTCAGAAACGTAGAGGCCATGGCAACTTCCAAATTAGTATGAATTTCAATAAAAACGTTCTTTCTATCAAGTAATATTTAATGTGAGAAGGATGAAAAGAACTTGACCTTAACAGCATGCCCTAACCATTTCAATGTGGTTTTTAAAATTTCTCAACAAAAATAAATTTTCATATCCCAAAATTAGCTGTTTAAACTTCCTTTTTTGCAAATTTTCTCCCAAGTTTTGGTTTTCCCTATTTAACAAGGCTCCCTTCTCCCCTTCCATAACATTTTGCAAATCCAGCCTCATACACACGCACGTGCACACTGCTGTTCTCTGGCCTCTCTATTTCTTCTGCATTGTCTTCCTCCTCCCACTACTAGAACCTAACACTCTACAGACTATTCTTCATTTAAAAAAAAAAGGAATAATAATAATAATTTCACCCCCAAGCTACATTAAAAATTGCCCTGTTCCCATCAGTCCTAAGCCTGCCAATCCCCCATTCCTCCCAAACATTCGACATCTGGCTTTCAACACCCCTCACCCTATCAGTGGCCGACCTGTCGCCTCCTTCTGCGCATCCAGCTGGAGGGCCGGCCCCGCCAACCTCCGCACTCAGATTCCAGGAATTACCCCTCATTATCCACGTGATTATTCCCCATAATGATATCTATTATCTCTTCCAGGAGCAGTTAAGAACTAGAAAGACAAATCGCATCTAGAAATTCCTGGGCAACGCAAAATGTTAACCCACAGCTCGAATGGTTTCATGGGGACCGGAGAACGTCCCCAGGAAAGACCAGCTTCCACAACCCATTCAGCTTCTCTTTTTCCTTTTTTTCTTTTTAAACTTTTTTTCTCCCCTCAACTTTTTTTTTTTTTTCATAAAAGACTTGCTTAGGACGTAAACATTTTGTCGACTACAGGCCAGACAAAGATACGAAGAAAGCACAGTCAGGAAGGAAGTTAAAGGCTATTTAAAATTCATCTGCATTTATGACAAATTATCAAGAAGGCTGGAAGCTTGTTTTGAAAAAAAATACAATGCAGCTCACTTCAAAGGCTTTTTGTTTTTCTGAGAATTTTTTTTAGAAGAATATGCTCCACTGTTAACAGCTGCAACTGTTTTTTTTTTTCTCCTTGCAGTTGCTGGAATTACAGGCCTGCTGTTTTGTCAGAGATAAAGAGCAATTTAATGCAGACAAAAATTATTTTTGACTGCTCCATTGCCCCTTCCGGAGGCTGACTGGACAGCCAGTTTCACGATACGATTTCAGGCCGCCATTAAAGAATTACTTCTTTTCTCTCCTGTCTATGCCAAATGCCTTCAGATCTCATTTTTCCTTCTATGATGAGGGTCAACTAGGTTTTTATTTTAATACAATTTTAATCTCTGCTCCTCTCGCAAGTTCTCAGAGCTGCGGGTTATTTCAGACTAGCCAATTCCTGAATATTAAGAATGGTTTTCTGAGAGTCTACACTGTCAGCCTGCTACGTTACCTACACATCACCCCATTGTTTCTCAAGAGGTCTGCGTGCATCTGCTCACTTTAAATTCAATTTTTTCATCATTTCTGATTTATTTTTAGCTGCTGTAACAGAGGTTCCTTTAGCTTTACGTGATCACCCTCCACAAATGCGAGCCAAGTTCCCCTTTCTCTAGCACATTCTTGTTTTGCTCTCGCTTTCTCCTCATCCTTTCACCTTTTTTCCAGAGTAATTCCCCTAGACATGCTGAGATAAACACTGACAGATGTGACATGAATGCAAATCTTCTAAGAGTTGTTGCTTTTTGCATTCTAAGTACTAAACCTATTTTAACCATGACTAAAAGATTTCTTCAGCCTATTTTAGCATCAAGCTTAATATAATAAAAAGCACAAGAGCTTCTCACAGGATGTAACTCTTCTGCTACCACAATAATCACCACTATGAAATGATGTTTTTATGCTTTCTGAAAACAGTCATTTCTGAAAGCAGCTGTACATCAGGAACAGAACAAAGAAATATACTGAACTGACTGCGAAAGATCAAGTCTATGCCCCAATCCCATTCTGAAAATAAACTCGCTAACAGTTCCCAAGCAATCAAGGTATTGTGTTCATCTACTGCTCGACTACCTCTGCAGAGAAGAGGATGAGGGCAAGAGAAATTAAGAGAACTCCTTTTCTTCTCTATTTGCTTACTTAAAATAATTAAGGCATTGAAATAGAGCTCGAGTATGTCCAAAGTGAAACGTTTATGTGGAAAAGTGAGACCGTTTCTCCTTTACTCCCTTTCACACTTACTGGGTTCCTGGAGATATTTACCTAGCTCTTTTTGATACCTGAGCACCAATATACATAAGAAGCAATACTCTTAAGGAAAGAAATACTGAGTTACGAGTGGTATGTTTTTTGCTTGATTTATGATGAATGTTATCACTGCGTGTGCAGCAAGCCTGAAAGTAAAATACTTCACACTAAAATCAAACAGAAGAAACTAGAATCAACAGCATGTCGTGTTTATGAAACACTTCTCATTTGAAAATCTCCATTGTTTTATTTATTTGCATATTTAAAAAAAAAAAAGCAAGTAGAATATGACCATCTCTATGTTACAGACAAGGAGGCTGAGAGTAATGTTCATGATCCATCTGAAGTCAGAGAGTAGATCAGTGGCAGACTCAAAAACAGGTTTGATCTTACTGACACCCTGACTTCTCAATGACAAAAGCAAGTACTAACATTTTACCAAAAGAAGCATTCCAGACTACCTATCCTTTTTTTAAAGCGAAGTGCAGCTATGTCTACAACACAGAAACATAACGTTCTGTGTCTGGAATAAAGCATTCCTTGGTTGAAACAATAGGAAATAATGAAGAAAAAAACCCAAAGAGCTTCATCCCCTTGCACTGTTTGGTAATTCTTACTAATTAATATTAGGCTATCAAAGCAACTTGCAAAATCCTTACCATCTTTGGACATTCTGAATTAGAAAATCAGTTTAGAGCTTTCCCACCAAAAGTCTACTCTTGACAGAGCGTGAGGTATCTTCAAAAAAATCAGAATTCTTAATTTTGAATCAATTATTTAACAAATTAAATGAACAGATGCGCACCTCAGAAATTCCTACTTAAGAGCCCCTAGCAAAGAACGAGGCACTCCAGAATACTAATTTTAAAACCAAATCAGTCTTTCACTGAACATCTCTTCACTGTATCCACCATTTCTAAAGAATTTAGTTATACGCTGTTTGAAATGAAACAATGAAGGACTCCAATAAAATTAAACCAAATATGAAAAAAGTTCTTAGCACATTTGTCAGGTGGAGGGAGGTCTTTCTGATTCAGGTTTGTGATATTTTACCTCACAGAGCAGTAAGTCAATGATGTGGAAGACCATGCAGAGCGGAAACTTGGCAGTAAAAAGAGTGAGAAACCACTGGGACGCATACATATGAGCTTCCAAATTCAGGTCTGAGAAATGGCTATACAAGTCAGGTAACTGCTCCTAGAGTAAAGGAAAAAACAAACGCGTCAGTACTACTCATTAATCTTCCGAGTTCATGAGAAACACTGTCAGTTCATGATAAACATTTTCAGTGCTAAACATGGAAAAACAGAACACTGGCTACTTTTGAGCAATGGAAATACGTTTCTTCATAAATGTCAGTGCCCATGATTACGGTTTTTTAGTGAGATATCCACTATAGATTCCGTTTCAGAGAAGGTGCTGTAAGATTATTGTGAGAAATTACAAAATGTTAAGCAGCGGAAAGGCAGAGTAGCTGTGAAATGTATGCTACGCATGGTGTATTTTTCAAAGTTATTCCTTAATTGTGTCTTATAAGTGCTTCCGCTAAAAAAAATGGATATTGGAACAAGGGAGTTCAGCCCGCACAAGGAAGCACATTATAACTTTCACCACTGCATGAGATAATTTCTCTAATTAGAAGTATATATGAGCAACATAAAATAAGCAAAGATAATTCTAGTATACATTAACAGCATATGATCTTTAGTTACTAAATAAAAATTTGTGTTAAGGTATGCAATCTAAATATTGAAAAGGGTATATACCAAAGTAAAATATCAAATGGATTAGTATTCTATTTGCTATGTAGAAAATAGGCATAAATCGATGGCTGTGGTCTGTGAACTTTTTTGTTTGTTTTTAACAAGTCTCATAGAAGGAAATATGATTACCTTTCTGCTCTGGGCAACTGACCCTAACAGCTAGCTTTCACTATGATAACAGAAGCACAAGTCAAAGCTTACTGGGCTGTTAATAACTGCTTATTAGACAGAACAATAACTTGCAACAGCTTATGTTAAGTTGCTCTGGACATGAAACAATTATATCTGAGAAAAAGGAGCAAGGTATTCCAATCACAGTAGGATTTACAAAATGACCTAACACTTGATTCCCATTTCATAATCATCAGAATGTCCTGATTCATCCGACCTCTTAACCACCAACACAAGTCACAGAAAGTAGGACACTGATAGTGGCAGTCCAAAAGATTCCTGGGCCTCAAAAGACCTCAGAAATTCTCTTTAAGTGACATCACAAAATAGGGAAGAGAGAAAGTAAGCAAACAGAGACAGGAAAAAGAAAAAAAAATATATCTACTCTGCTTCGATACAAAGATTAGCAGTAAGACGTTGTAAATGAAAGCCAAACAAAAACAGAAATAGAACTGACTCACAATGTTTGGATTTAGATATTACACCTCCCTGCACACAGGGCTGATGTATCCAAGCTTTGGTTCAACCTCACCTCTAAAAGGAGAGGCTTTTTGTTGTCCCGTAGGTTATGGAAGAAAAGCATTAGCTTCCTCTTCGCATCAGTATTTCAATTTATGTAAGTACAGGAATTTTTTACCCTGGCCCCACCTGCATTAACTTCTCCAGCTGGAAAAATTTGCAATGGAGATCTTCAAAGTTATTTCTGTAGAGGTCCCTCAAGCCATAGTCATACATTATTTTCACCAGCACACAGAATGCTTGCTCCTCTGGCATCTGTTTGGAAAAATACACAAATACAATTTTAAAAATGGAGCTGAGGTTGGAAATTCCTTACATAAATGCAAACATATACCCACACTTAAATTGCTTATGCATGACGGGCCCTAAAGCAGGGATATATGAAAATTTTCATCAAGGCACTCTGTGTTTAGAATAAAGCAACTAAAATCTCAAGGGAACTATTCTCCTTGATGAGCACCTTCCATCTGTCTCTTTGAAGAAAATGTGACATCAGATCATAGGTTCATGTAAGTAGACATGGCTACAACTGCGCAGCTGTCACTGGTACTCTTTCTGCCAATATGTGTAAGACCAACCAGTACCCAATTTTCATCTACAGAACAACAGTTAAAAGAAAGAGAAAGAAAAACAGCAACCCAAGACAGTGATTTCTACTGAAAGAGACTTGGTTAACTGGGAAAAACGTCTGAGAACACTAAAGGATAACTGACCCTTATTGAGAATAATGCTTATTTACTTTCATCCAAACCCCAGGATGTCAAATCCTCTGAAGTCAGCCTCCAAAGATGGATGCAGAAATAATGACATTTGCCTTCAGAACCTCATCGTGAGATCAGGAAGGCTGATTCCATCCACTAACATCATGGCCTTTTCAGGATCCTTCTCTCTGTAATCTCCATATTTCATCTTGATCACAACTCCTTATCCAACAGAATTATAGCAAACAGTACTAAGGCACAAACTATGTGAGCTGCTCTAAAATCATGTTTATTGGCTTGAGCCCACTGAAAGCTGAATTTGTGTGAACGTTTGTGTCATCAAACTTCCACTGATAAGACACCTCCCCCATTGCCATGCCTTCAGGGAACATAATAATAAGATATGCATAAGCAGAGCTACTGGAGACTTCAAATCAGGTCATCAATCACTTAAAAAAACAAAAACAAAAACCAAAAAAACTTCATTTTGCAGGCACTGGATAGTTACAACTGAAAACAATTATCGAGTATCAAGAGTGACAACTCTTGACCTTTTAGCTTTCACTCTCTTGCCAATCCCTTAGCAAACACGAGCAATAGATAAAAGCTCAGTATTTTTTCCAAAGAGAATTTTAGTCTCTTGATATGCACCTCCAGGGTTTCATTTTTTATAGTTTAGACTATGACTCTGCTCTGTCTCCAGGGCCACAGTTGAAGCAAATACTCTCATTTTCCGGCAGCATATATGAAAGTAACTAGTTAACATCAAGAAACACCAGATCCACTGCTCGCTATCTGAATGGGCTAAATTCACCCAGAACGAGTTGTTACAAATCTCAGATCTCTTTACCATAGCTTTAGCTGGATAGAACGATCCCCACTGACAGCAGATAAAGGCTGCAGATAAAGTTAAGGGAAGAAATAGTTTTATGCTGACCAAAAAGCTTGAATCTGCTCTATAACAAGATGAATGCAATTTTTTTTTTTTTTTAAATAAGGCAATGGTTATTTCTACCAAAACATCCAAGGATCATGCCCAAGCACACCTACCTTGCATGCTCAATCAGACACACAGGCATTGACAATCACTCTTCCCCCAGACACAGGAAAGGGAGAAGGGATGGAAGTGAGCACTAGGCCAAAGTCCTTCCCAGGCAGAGGCCATGGATCCTCACTTGCCATGGATGGATGATCTCCAGTATTGTCAATCTCAAGAATGCAAAATGGTAAGTCAGGCATCCAGAAGATTTCTTTTTTTTTTTTTTAAACAAAACACGTCTTTGGCATTCCCATTCTGATTTTTAGCTTTGAAATATTTGCCCCTCATATCTTTTTTTGAAATTACAAAAGCCTGAAATTTACCATTTTTTAATGAAATTTTAGTTTTTCACATAGCAAGAAGTCAACTATCTAGACAATAGGGGGAAAAAAGTCAAGTATTGTAAGAGTTACGGAAAAACTACGAGAGTTGGCAACACTAGCCCCCAATGATTAGCAAGTACTTGCTCGTCTTGGATGGGAATTTCATCAAAGCAGCAAAAACACAGAGCCAGGACAGAGGTTCAGGCTACTGAACCTTTCGTGAAAGATATCTACATCGGAAAGAAAGGACATCCTGTCCCAGAAAAATGGGAAGGGAAGGGGTTTAGAATCCATGCAAAGACAGAAGAGTTAGAAGCCCCATAAGCATTCACAGATACAGATTGGCTGGAGAATTTGAGAAAAACAAGAGTTTGAGGACACTGGGAAGCTCCAAATTTACATAAGAGAAACTGCTTCCCTTCCCCTCTTTCTCTGATTATTTCAGTTTAATATCCTATTAGGAAAGGAAATTATAAATTATAAAGGGTGTATTAAAATGAGTGCAATTGCCATTTCACATTCCTTATGTACAGGGCAATTTCTTTTCACTCCAGAAACACCAGAAATGGAGGTGATCTCCTATAGTAATGACAGCATATAGCTAAACGAGAGGAGCCAAAGTATCAGTCAAATGTTAAGAATGTGACACTCACTCATTTCTCAGCACATTAGGCTCTGAAAATGGCTTACTTTTCAAGTGGAAATTATAAATCCTTCTTTAGGTAATAACCGAATTGCAAAAAAAGAGATAGATAAGTTCATTTTCACTGCACGTAGGTTTGTAATATGACTAATTTCACATTTATCGTGAAGAATCTAAAGCTTCCCTGTAACACTTTTATTGGGTAACGTGCTCCTTAAATCTTAAAGCAGTCACAGATCTCCTTAGGAATTATGACTTAGAGTTAAAATAATCTGAATTTGATTTCTTGGGAACCATGTATGTAATATATATACCCCCAACAACCTTATACAGAACTGTAATATGAAATGATTCCAATCATGATTAATAACTTATTAATCATGAGATTAATACAGAGAAAGTAGTCAACAGCATAAATAGTGGTTGGGATTTGCATTTGGGTTTTTTTTTTCCTTATGTTCTTTAAAATACTCATACTACTTAAATCTACTGCTCATCCACTGATAGATCATGGAATTCAAGCAGCTTGCAAATATAAAAATTGTAAATTTATCTATCTATACACACTCACCCGTGTGTGTGTGTGCCTGTGTGTATATGCTTGAGGTGTGTGTATATACATATGTATGAAGTGAAAGATCAAAGTTTATACAGTTTCCTGTTACTGGCTAGAATGAATGAAAAGGTGTTGAATTCATGTTCAGTTTGCATTCAAAAGATATTATAAAATGTCCTTAGGGGAAAAAGTCTCACTGAAAATTAATGAGGCTTTGCTCCAGTTAGCTGCCCTGAGATTATTCCCCAAAGTTGAATTCCCCATAAATGGAATCACAGTCTACCTGAATGAGAATCAAATGGAAAGAAAATATTCATATATAACAAATCCATTTCAGGTTTGGGTACAAAAGGACTTGATAATTTAAAAAAAGATAACTTCTTTTGTCAGAAGTTAAAATGCTAGAAGATGCATTACTTTCATTTACTAAAAACCTTAATTATTCTTGAATTAATGGATTTCGCCTAGATAGATAAAATACACATTCATAAAGACAGAAACCATTCATACACTATTTGCCAACAAGCAATGAAAGGAAAATGAATACAGACCAATGAACAACAGTTAATACCTGTCAAACAGTATGTTACAGTACTACTGTTTCTAAAGCAGCTTTGGCTTCAGAATGTCAAAGCTTTCGTTTGGAAATCAACTCACATGAAGCAGCAGCACAGCTGCGAGGAAAGACTGTCCCTGACAGTAGCCAATGTCTTCATCATAGACAGAGTAGGCCTGCAAAAAACAAAAGTCATCGAACGTTTAAAATCTATGTACGCATTATCAAAAGGCATTTTAATCAATGAGATATTGAGAATACGTATTACTGCAGGGCTGAGAAGATAAAAGGGAATGAAATTGTAACCATTCTTGAGCGGGCTTTCAGGATGCACAGTTCACCCTCTATCTTCCACACACATCATATTTGTAATTTTTTTTTCCATCATGAAAAGATTTGGATGCAACTTCCCTTCAGTCAAACCCGGGGCAATTCTGCTGAAGGCGGTACTGATATAACGATAACGCTGCAACAAGTTGGCCTGCAGAACGAGGCTAGTTTGCGCTCTGGGGAGAGCGCTTGTTTGTTGGTTTTCGGAAACTCTTACGCCGCTTAAGAACAGGACCTGGGGATGCTGGTTAGGAAGCCACTGTGGATTATTCTAGGCTGAAAACTTCACCAGAAATAACTTCTCCATGTCCTTATTATGCTGAGAAACGAGTAGGACTCAGCTTCATACGGCAAGGTTGCCATACTACCACGAATCTTTACTGAGGGGAAAAAGCGTCCCCAAGCTTTCGAAAGCCGAGTCCCTGCTCAGCAGAATAAACTCAACCATGCACCTTTCAACCTTCTGTTCGTTCTGCTTTAAGACACGTATTCAGGTTACCTTTTTGTTACTGTTAAAAAACAACAACCAAAATGAAAATTACCACACACGGCTTGCCCCTCGCTCTCGAGAGACAAGCAGACAGACACCGCTTCCAAAGAGCTGCCGGAGGAGGGCAGGAGCCTGAGGAGACTTGAGGAAGCCTCAGCAGCCGCAGGACTGACAAGGGACCCGGAGCACAAGGAAGGTATTGAGGCTCCAGCCAGGGAAAACGAAAGCGCAAGGTGGGGGCTACAGGCAGCACGAGGCCCCCGGACGCCCAGGACCGCTCCAGGCTGACGGCTGTGCCTACCTGCCCCTTCCACCTCTTCCCCGCCACCCACGCCTG